CAGCACAGGGGATCTAAACACAGGGGATCTCAACACAGGGGTTGTCAGCACAGGGGATCTCAACATAGGGGATCTCAACACAGGGGATCTCAACACAGGGTGATCTCAACACAGGGGATCTCAGCACAGGGGATCTGAACACAGGGGATCTGAACACAGGGGATCTCAACACAGGGGTTCTCAACACAGGGGATCTTAACACAAGGGATCTCAACACAGTGTGATCTCCAAACAGGGTGATGTCAACACAGGGGATCTCAACACAGGGGATCACAACACAGGGGATCTCAACACAGGGGATCACAACACAGGGGATCACAACACAGGGGATCTCAACAAAGGGGGATGGAGCCATGGGTTAAGACACCAGTGAAAGCTTTAACATCATACAACCAGGTCCTCTATGAAATGATGCAATGGCATCTTTGCTTTACCCAATAACAGCTGGCTCGAAAATTTCATTTTTTATGTTACTCTAATGTTAAATATATTTAAAAAGAGTCCGTAATCCCAAACATAAGTCTCAAGTGTTCCGCTCTTAAACATGTTTACACATTGGATAATTCTATGCTGAATTTAAACAAATGCCCTAACTGAAAGATAATTCTAATCTAAACTATCATTATAAACATTGAGTGCAAGTGTGAGGGTTTTGGTTGACTTAATTATGAGCTTCATGTGCACTTTTTAAAAAAAGTTTAAAAATGTTGGTTTTGGTTCATTAATCACATTCAACCGCTTATATTTCTGGTTTAGTCGGAAGCTATAGCTTCCTATAATTTATCGAAATCAGGGAGGTTCTTTATATTCATATTGCAAAATATGTTGTTCAGTTGTTGTTTTTTATATCGTTAGAGATGTTAAATCTCAAGTTGGTGTTCTGGAGTTCAATTCCAGCCAAAAGCACATTCAAGCAAAAACATCACAGCACCGCGGATGGATGGGACTCATTAACCTTGGATGACAACTCATCTAAGAGAAGGAAACTCTGAATTCAAACCCGGAGATGGAGTCCCGTAACATTGGTTTAATGAAATATTCCGACAACTCCTGCGACGCCACTGATGCCAAGCTGTATCATCCACATGATGTCCCCTTGGGTTATCCAGCGGAGTGGAGAGAGGCGATTTGCTGTTGGGAACCAGTTTATAATCCTAGAAGAATAATCCCAGGCCTCGTGGATTTGGCCCTGCGAAGTCTTCACCATCGTCACATTGATTGTGACGGACGGATGCCAGAGAAGTTATGGAGGCCTCATAAGAATGATCTAAGGATGAACAGAATTTCCGACATTCTTCTGTTTTAAAATACCCAATGCAGTTGAAGGCTTGCAACATGAATGCTTTGAATAATTTTTTTTTTTTAATTAAAACTTTTAATACAAGTACCTAATATTCCCTAAACTAAACCAGGGGTAATAAGGGGAGAGACTGCAATCAAAATCTGCAAATTAAACTAAACCAGGGGTAATAAGGGGAGAGACTGCAATCAAAATCTGCAAATTAAACTAAACCAGGGGTAATAAGGGGAGAGACTGCAATCAAAATCTGCAAATTAAACTAAACCAGGGGTAATAAGGGGAGAGACTGCAATCAAAATCTGCAAATTAAACTAAACCAGGGGTAATAAGGGGAGAGACTGCAATCAAAATCTGCAAATTAAACTAAACCAGGGGTAATAAGGGGAGAGACTGCAATCAAAATCTGCAAATTAATCTAAACCAGGGGTAATAAGGGGAGAGACTGCAATCAAAATCTGCAAATTAAACTAAACCACTTTTTGCAGGAAGAGGCTGGTGGGCATAACCTAAAGTCCATCTCAAACAAAGAGGCCAGGGCAGCCAAGAGGGCAGCGGCTGCTGCCAAAAAGAAGGAGGAGGTGGAGCGGAGGAGGAGGGAAATGGAGGAGAAGCGTAAACGAGAGAAGGAAGAAATGGAGAGGCAGATTGCACTGCAAAAAGAATTGGAGGAGGAGAAAAGAAGAAAAGAGGAGGAAAGGAGGTATAGCTTTAGATGTCTCATAAACAAGTTTTAAACTCTTCACTCTCTTATTGTTATTGTTGAACCTTTTTTTTTCTAATTGGAAATAAATGTCTGAAATCATTTGAAAGGTTGGCTTTCCCTAAGTTTTGATCATTGAAAACTGTTACGTTTTTAAATTGTGGTTGCATTAGATTGGGAAAGAGACCCATTTTTAACATGATTTGTATTTTACAATGTCAACAATTTTAAGTTGTTTGATTTGTTCATGCGATGACTGTCATAAATTTGCCTTGACAGGTTGCGAAAACTCCAAGAGTGGGAGACGGAGGAGAGGGAGAAGCAAGATCAAGAGGAAGCAGAGAGGAGGAGAAAGCTGGAGACAGAGAGAGAGAAAAAACTGAAAGAGGAGTATCAGAGGAAGATGGAGGAAATGCGGCGCAAGCAGTTGGAGGAGGAGATGAGAAGGCATGGTGAGTGAAGATCAGACCATTAATTACTAAGTTAAAATGCTGTAGCTTTGTATGTCCCCCCCCTCCCTCCACAGGTTAAATTGTTCATTCAATAGATAAGTATCTTAAGTCACTTCAATAAAATACAAGATCATCAAAGTTATTGACAACTTAAAAAATGGAGGTAAAATTTTTTACGCTGTTTAATCCTGTAAATAATTCCAGAACTGTTGCTGGAGAAACAGAAGGAAGAGGAAAGACAGAGGATAGCCGAAGAGTTGATGCTGTCCAAGATGGCAGAGGAGGAACGGCTGGAATATGAGAGGAAAAAGAGAGAAATTGAAGAGGAGAGAAAGAGGAGAGAGCTGGAGGAAAAGTAAGCACTTGTCAGTTAATGTTGCTGATAACTTTTAGAAGGTTTTATAAATAAACACGAAATCAAAAAAAATATTAGTATCATCTTACATAAAGTTATACAGTAATTTTTTTTTAAATAATACATTGAATCCAATCATTTGGACATTTTTCTATTGCAAAGTCAATTTTTTTCTACTTACTGTAATGTTTCTTTTAAATGGATGTGCTAGCTTAAATTTAAGAGATGCTTTTTCATGCAAAGAAGCAATTATAATAGAATTTTAGAAGGAAAAAAAAACAGGCTTTCTTATTTGCTTGCATTTTTATCATGAGTTTATTCATTCAGTTTTAATAATAAGATTATTTTCAAACATTTTACTGCATCTTATTTAGACTTAAGAGAGAAGAGGAGGCCAGGAAGGCCTTTGAAGAGGCTCAACGACTGGCTGCTGAAATGGCCAGGAAACAAGCAGAACTTGAGGCCAGATTACGATTTAACCGTTCATTGCAAGAGGAGTCTGTGAATCTAACCCAGTCCCACCAAGTCAACAGGGCTTTTGTCTTCTCATACTTTGAACTGCTGCAGTGGCTGGGATTAGATATACCAGAATTTGAGTTGGCCAAATTGGCGGATTACTAAATCATTAAAACAATTTTGTGATAATAATTTTATGTTAATGGACAATATTTTTACAAGAAAAATACATCTGAAGTATTAAATGACCTATTTCATTTATTTTTTATAATATTTATTGTAGATTGTATTTTTTAAAATCCAAAACGAACTCAGAGTGAGCTATGGAGTGACATTTTTTTCATTCAGCTCAATTTCCAAACCATTTTCTATTTACATTTCTTAAGAGATACAAAATGTTCAAATTTCTAACAGAATTTTTAAAAACCATTTTGAACAACTTAAGTCCAGTGCAAATAAAATTTAATCATATTATATAATAATCTTTCAGAAAATTTTATGAATGAAAACAAAATAAATATGAACTTTGACCCCCAAATCAAATGATGAGCAAATGTTCTTTATAAAGATAAGCTTAATTTACGTTTTAAATATATAAACTGAATGCTCAAGTCTGGACTTGGCAAACTTTCAGTTAAACCCTACATAATTTTATGGTTTAGGAGACTTAGAATAGGGAAAATGCAATCATTTTTACAAATTAATTGAACAAGCTTGGCTAAAATTATGTCAAACAATCTGAAGCCTAATTTATATCAATGCCAAATTTCCTCAAACCATGAGCTTTCTACATTCTTTATTCCAAATGCTAACTTACTCATCATTAAGGACTTGTATAGTTTCAGCTAACATGTCAATTACTTTCTTTAACCTTTCTCATTTATTCTGAAAGTTTTAATGAAAGTCTTGAATTAATACCCCAAATTGATTCTCATTATGCAAATTAATTACGGCATAATAAAGGTTTTAATATAAATCTATATTTTTATATGATAATTCTATATTTTTAATATCATAATTATGTAAATTTTTACATTTAAAAAACATTTTTATAATATTTTTCTTACCAGAAATATTTTAATTTTTATCATAGTTTTGTTTTACTCTCATAAAAAACATTGTTATAGCTTAGAAGATTCAAATTCCTTTAATATTTACTATAGAAATTATCTCCAACTAACAAAAGCAACAGTCTTATACACAACTGCTCATTTGCCAGAGTTTAAAACATTCCTTTGTGTACAGGGGACTATGTTTTGAAGTAACTGAAGATTTTGAGTCAAGTTTAACCAGGGCCAGGAGTCAGGAAATATCAACTTTATTGATTTAACTTGGGATAAAAATACATGCACAAAATCCTTTCTTATCTTGAGTATAAAAAATTGACTTATGAGATCAAAGTTCCAATAAGTCATGTCAGATGAGGAAACTCTCACCCCTTTATAATGTTTGGGGGTTATCTTTTTGAGCTCCCCTGTTATGACCCAGTCTACTTAGAGGGAGGGAACTTGAGAACAGGAGGATCAATGGTGTGACCCAGTCTACTCAGAGAGAGGAAACTTGAGAGCAGGAGGATCATATGTTGTGACCCAGTCTACTTAGTGGGAGGGAACTTGAGAACAGGAGGATCATATGTTGTGACCCAGTCTACTCAGAGGGAGGGAACTTGAGAACAGGAGGATCATATGTTGTGACCCAGTCTACTCAGAGGGAGGGAACTTGAGAGCAGGAGGATCATATGTTGTGACCCAGTCTACTTAGTGGGAGGGAACTTGAGAACAGGAGGATCATATGTTGTGACCCAGTCTACTCAGAGAGAGGGAACTTGAGAACAGGAGGATCATATGTTGTGACCCAGTCTACTTAGTGGGAGGGAACTTGAGAAGAGGAGGATCATATGTTGTGACCCAGTCTACTCAGAGAGAGGGAACTTGAGAGCAGGAGGATCATATGTTGTGACCCAGTCTACTCAGAGGGAGGGAACTTGAGAGCAGTATGATCATATGTTGTGACCCAGTCTACTTAGTGGGAGGGAACTTGAGAACAGGAGGATCATATGTTGTGGCCCAATCTACTCAGAGGGAGATAACTTGAGAGCAGGAGGATCAATGGTGTGACCCAGTCTGCTTAGATGCAGGAGGATCTTAGGAGCAACTGAGACTATTTCTTTAGGATGCTGGCAAATCTATTTTTAGCACCTCTATGGTGCTGGCACCTCAATGAGACTAGACCCTCAATGATGCTTGCACCTCTATGGTGCTGGCACCTCAATGAGACTAGACCCTCAATGATGCTTGCACCTCTATGGTACTGGCACCTCAATGAGACTAGACCCTCAATGATGCTTGCACCTCTATGGTGCTGGCACCTCCAGGAGACTAGACCCTCAATGATGCTTGCACCTCTATGGTGCTGGCACCTCCAGGAGTCTAGACCCTCAATGATGCTTGCACCTCTATGGTGCTGGCACCTCCAGGAGACTAGACCCTCAATGATGCTTGCACCTCTATGATGCCGACACCTCTATGGGACTGGCACCTCAATGAGACTAGACCCTCAATGATGCTTGCACCTCTATGATGCCGACACCTCTATGAGACAAAGACAAGAACCTCTAAAATGGTGGCACCTCTATGATGCTGGCACCACTGACCATCAGTTTTCTAATTGCAATTATTTACAAACTTATCCATGCTAATGTTCCGCCCTAGTTAAAAGCTCCCAATTTTATGAAAATGCTTGTATTCAAACCCAATACATGGTTTTGATTTAAGCTGGGATCATCATCTTCTATTTTATTAACTTATGTAATTCAAATGCATTTATAAAGTTTATGTGATAAAGTTTACATTTTTAAATTAAATGTTCATTTTACAAAACGCATGCAAAAATCGTCAGTATATTTTTGTTGTCATTATTTGTATTAAAAAAGGAAACCTCTAACTATAAATGTGAGAAGCTTATGCCTAAATCTTTGACAGCACGTTGAAATCATATGCAGATATATTTTTCTGTTCATTGTTACCTGTAACATAATATAATACATTACCTTTTAAAAAATTTAAATCTCCTCTTCATAAGTGTTTGAATCGCACAAGAAAGCCAGCTGACAGGCAGTGGAGCATAGTCAGGACAAAGTTATAAGAAGAATATTATCTTTTGTTTGTGAAAAAAGTTCATTACTAACGTGTGAAGAGGCAGGGCCATGTAGTTTTTTTTTAAGACAGTGTAAAGCTGGTTTTTTTAAGACAGTGTAAAGCTGGTTTTTTAAGACAGAGTAAAAATGTTTTTTTTATTTATACATCAGTAAGCCGCTTTATTTGATCTAAGTGTAAGTCTGTTTTTAGACAGCATAACGCCTGTTGCTGTTGCTGTTTTGTTAGAAAGAGGAAAAGACGTCTTTTTTTTAATTAGACATGAGTAAAACGATTTTTTTGTTCACCGCAAAGCCGCCCCCCCCCAGGCGAAACCAAAAAATAGCGCCACTCAATATATAGAAAAAAGTCGCACCCAGGAATGTATCAGTAAAAATAAAAATTTGGCACCCCTTGTCTTTGTGAATTACATGGGATTGTATCCTTTAATTCCCCTTTAAGGTCCTAAAGAAGAGTTTGACGCCCCCCCCCCCCGATGTTATCACCCGGGTCGGTTGTAGCATCATAACATAATGACAAGCAAGAATGTTAAAATAATAATGACAAGAAAGAACAAAAAAAAGCGCCACTCAAAATATAGAAAAAAGTCGCACCCAGGGATGTATCAGTAAAAATAAAAATTTGGCCCCCCTTGTCTTTGTGAATTACATGGGATTGTATCCTTTAATTCCCCTTTAAGGTCCTAAAGAAGAGTTTGACGCCCCCCCCCCCCCGATGTTATCACCCGGGTCGGTTGTAGCATCATAACATAATGACAAGCAAGAATGTTAACATAATAATGACAAGAAAGAATGTTAACTGTTTCCTAGATATGGGTCAATTTGTTTTGTATAATAAACATGATATTTCTTGCACTCTTGACAATAGATGGCTCATTTCTATATTAGAAATAGGCAGTGTCGGATTGACATGAAGGATGTTGTTACATCTTCGTTTACGGTTGAATATTCCAGCGTTGTCTAGGGTGAATGAATCTCGCCTGGCTCAGTACTACACTTCCAACTGGCGGCTTCTCTCTCACATAACAAACACAAGGACCAGTGTAAATATACAATGTTTTATTACATGCTATACAAATCAGGATAATGTTGCTTAATAGAATATGGCGTGTGGAATATGCATCAGTACAACTACCAACTATCCACTCTCCTAGCACAACTAACAACCAACTAACACACCGCCCTTCCATATCCCTACAAAACACTCAGCCTATACACTAACGTGCCACTCCACGGACTAACTTCACGCACTGATCTCACGATCAACAACTCACAAACACTCTCACGATCCACAACTCCCCCTTATACCCAACATTCACAACAATCTAGTTCACAACATTCCTCCCGCCTTTCGTTGACATCACTTAAACATCACACACAAAATTGAAACATAAATGGTAATCCTCTCCCACTTCATGTGACACCAACAATAGTATAAACAAAGTATTTCCAGATTGAAAAAAATTACAATTTAAATATAAATTTTGCCTTGACATCACGAGGATCCCTTTTTGTCTTCTTTTTTTTCCCCAAACCTGTTGTTAAGTACGTCAGCATATCCAAGGCATTCATGTCCAACACATTGATGTCTTGGCGTACTTAAATTTACTGAAAACACGCCGATATCTGAAGCAAGACGGTATGGTATCTAGACACACCAATACCGACAGGCTATGTTACCTAAATGTCTTACATATGATTCACTCTAACTAAGGACATAGATATTGTAAATCATATGTTAAGCAGTCTTTCTATTTTGGTTCAGATAAGAGACAATTGCAACCTCGACTTACAATTGAATCATGTTTACCAACCCCTGAGACGTCATTGATTAATATCTTCACTTCTTATGAGATCATACATCCAGTAATCATGACCCCCGTGTCTCTCTCATCGAAGTAAGGAACTACATTGTCAATATTATTCAACAGTGTTCTAATTACTCTGGTAAAAATGGAGGGGCTGTTTTTTAGGCTAAATGGTAAATAACGGAATGGAAAATGACCCAATGGTACCCTGAAGGCAGTATAAGGCTTACTATTTTCAGATACAGGAATCTGCCAGAATCCTTTAATATGTGGCTGCCTATAACACTGAGAAAATATCTTCTGGGTCAGGGATGACTTCGGCATCGAACTCTGTGATAGAATTAAGTTTGCGATAGTCTACGCAGGTACGGATTGAACCATCTTTTTTCTTAACTACTACCACAGGGGCGGCATATGGTGAAGTACTTTCTTCAATGATCCCCAATATTAACATATTTTTTCACTTCTTGGTCAAGCTTATCTCTTAAATGTCATGGGACGGTGTATTGTTTCAAAACTATCGGCTTGTTTGATGTGACTCTTATGTTCAACTCTTCAACTTTTGCCTCCCCTGGAATGTCGGATATGACGTCGTCCAATTCAGCCACTAGCCTTGTGACCTCGTCTGTTTGACGTGGTGACAAATCACGATTATTGCAAACTTGTTTGAGTGTTTCCTTCTCTGTGTAACTTGCCGTCGGTAAAGTCATCAAATCACCTGTTGTCATTGTTGTCATCGAAGTCATCCTCCGTAATGATGGAAGTGTTGCAGCCGTGTAACATATGTTCCTCTTCCACTGGTTGAACATCTTTGCGACGGTCATGATATTTCATCACTCTGTTAATATGACATGTTTTTGTGGACATCCCTTTCTTAATGGTACGCCGAATAACTTGATATGGTCCATCCCAGAATAAAGCTAGTTTGTTTTTCTTGTGGTTTTCAGAAGCAGAACAAAGTCTCCCACATCGATATTCTTAGAAGTGGTCTTTTTGTCGTAATATGTTTTCATTTTAACTTTAGAGGTTTCATTGCTGGAGAGCGCTAGTTCTGTTGTCCTTTGAAGTCTGTGTCAACAATCTAGTTCACAACAGATGTTTTGATCTCTTTCTGTGCCTGTAACTCACAATAATAATAATATTGTTGCTGACATGAGCCATCACGAGACAGCACATGCTTTAGTTAGGTTCTATAATCAATACAACCTGGTGGCTACATTATATTTGAGTGGAACAAAAAAAAAATGATTTAAAATACTGTGCACATCCATTTCTTAGAAATATTAAAGTTTCATCAGGATAACATCTACTGAATTTCTACAGCAAATTTGTTCCTACGAACGCACACACACAAAAAAAAAAAAAAAAAAAAATTATGTGAAAAAAATTAATCTAAAAAAAAAAAAAAAAAAAAAAAAATAAAAGTTATGTGAAAAAAATTACTCTAAACACAAAAAGCAATTCATAACATGTTTTTTTTTTGTTGTTTTTTTAATTCAGAAAAAACTAGTCATTTCACAGATAAAATAAAATGTTTGATTGCAGAGGCAATCATTCAATGGGAATATAGGAAAGCTAAAAAGCACACAGTCTTGATTTTGGTCCCGGTCGTTTGGTTGCCCTGAAACAAAGAAGAATTGATGAGAACCTAATTCATACTTCATCATTGTCAATAACATTTTAAATGATCGAACGTATCCTAAACATAGGTTTTGACGAGTTCATTAGCTAGTAATGAAATAAAATATACTAATAATATATATGTTTAAAAAAATACAGTTCAAGTCTAGGCTACTTCTACTACTCAAGTCAAAAATTGCCTGGGTCATCTTCGTGGAGATGGACGAACAACATATATATATATATAAATATATATATGTACCTATATGCATGTTTGAAATTAAGATCGTTTGCACGTAGCCCAGTTTGAAGTTTCTATGAAACTAATTCACAGTTAGCTGCCACTACTAATTATTTGAAATTTTAAGGGGGAAAAAAGAATTTTTTTAATTTTCATTTTTTTCTACAAAAAAAAAATAAAAAAAAAAAAAAATAAAAATTAAAAGCTTGAAAACTAATTCACAGTTAGCTGCCACTACTAATTATTTAAAATTTTAAGGGGGAAAAAAAAATTTTTTTAATTTTCATTTTTTTCTACAAAAAAAAAATAAAAAAAAAAAAAAATGAAAATCAAAAGCGTGGCAGCAAGATGTCCTCCTAACGACTTTTACCACCCTGCCTTATATAGTCCTGTTATAACTTAAATTTATAAGTTATTGCTCTTTTTATATTTATGAGTCTCGCAGGTGCTCTTATTTATTCGTACAATACTTCGAATTTAAACCACACACTCTCATGCATTTATAACGGCGTAGGTCCAAATTAGGGATCTGCAAATAGCTGTTTGTTAGATGATTTTCTTCCCTCCTAAAATTCAGTTTCTTAATAAATTTTAACGTTCTATGGCGTTGAAATGGGAAAAGTGTTCCAATTGAAATTGAAATTGACGCCAAAGGTTTGTGCTGATCTGACACCCACCACAGCACGCCAAGTTAACTTTAAAATAAATATAGATAGTTGAAAAATTAATCCAAATAACCTGTTTACTCAAGAGTTTTAATACCAAACAATTATTTTTTTTAAATTAGCAATGTCGTGACGTGCTGAGGGCTAAATTTAACATCGAATAGAAATGCACGTAGTGATTTTGTTAGGGCGCTGAAATCGTGCGGAGAAAATGTGGCGCCTCCAGTAATAAATAAAGTAATAAGCCGACCAAGTTTTGATTTTGCCTTCTCTTTCCCCCCCCCCCTCCATTACCCTTTAAAAAAAAACAAAAAAAAACAAAAAAACAAAACTGAAATGGCGCTCTG